TCAGCTCAGTTAGACACGCTCTCAATATACCCCAGGCCAAGCTCTCTCCATAGACGGGGTATGCAAATAAAAAGGTTCTCAAGCTAAGTACCTTAAGCCCCAATTTTGTAAGCGTAGGTGCCAAAGTTTGGTTTGCCTCTTATCCGAATTTCTCAATCTAATAAAAGTCGCGCTTTATATATAATTTTTCTTTTTTTTTTTTTGGGGTTTTCTTTTGTTGTTCTTTGAGTCTTCTACCACATAAATTAATGTCCTGTGCCGCATATTTAAAACGTTTTTTGGTAATTAATCAATTTGATTGATCATGCGCTGCCCAGAAGCTGACTGCACAATATTTAATGCTCGCCAAAGAGAGAGAGGGAGACAGAGAGATACCCGGGACAGCTTGTAAAATATTGTGAGTTATGTATTTATAAATATTTAAAATATGCGCATTATTATTCACTTATTAAAGCGATTGAGATAAATGGCTTACGCATTGCCTGCGCTCAATTAGCATAATAGTAGTCCACATAAATGTTGCACGAACGGGACTTAAATTTCAGCTGCTGCCACTCTCCGGCCGTCGAGCTGTGTAAAATTGTGAGTTAATAGCTCGTGACAGGTATCAAGTCTAACAAGGACCCTAATTAGAGGGCCAGCATCAAATTGTTGCGTAGATTTTCTGGCTTCATAAGCTGCACACAAATTGCAGCGAAATTTTGTAAATTAGTTACAAATTTCAGCAGCTTGCAATCAGCAGGCAAAGCAGTAAGGGCGAGGGAGAGAGGCTGAGTAGGTGAGGCAGTGAGCGGATTGGGCGCTTGCACCACCCACTTAGACAAGCTTCCATTACAGCAGCTTGTCAGAGCGTTAACAGCAATGTGCGCGCCACTTGCCACCGCCTGGCCACTTCCTGTGGACAAGGCAAAGCTTTTAAGTCCCCAAACATGGGCCGACGCGGCTTCAAGTGCTTGCCAGCCGCGGTTACTTAACAGAGTGCAGGTGCGCACGAAAGCTCGACGGAAAGCTTTTAACGCTATGTTAAGGTGGCAGACGATTTACATTATTTAAGCAGCACTCGCAGCTTTGTTTGCGCTCTCACACATACTCTCGCTCACACACACTCAGGCTCTCTGTTTACAGTACACTTTGACTAAGACGGACCTGTGTGAAAAGCGCTGTTGAGAGCGTAGTAAATAAAAAGTAAACACATAATTAAATTTATTGTGGGCAATATTATTGGAAGGGAAGAGACTATGAATTTATATAGTTAATTCTATTGATATTAAATTATATTAAAATCAGTGTTGTATAGATTATGCTATGTAGCATATCTAATAAAAATCCTAATTTAATTCATTTTGATACCAAGTAAGCTGAAGTTTTGTCTATATATTTCGAGGCAAGCTAAAAGCTAAACTGACTAAAAAATCAACAAAATATAGAACTCATAAACTGTTATACTATATACAAATGGGGTACTTCCTAATAGAGTTTTCCATTCACTACCATCTTTCCATGATAAAATGCCAAAGGGGAAAAGCAAAGTAGTAAAGCTATCAGATTTAACAGGTAAATGGCTTATTTTGTCATTGATTTAAAGCCGCTGAACTGCAGCTAATAGTGTTAGACTAACTGCAGAGCTCGGATATAGCAGGCAGCGGCTATTCGCTTCGGCAAGAGTCACGGATTTTGTGTCCCAGAGGCAGGCAGCCATACAAACACCGGCCTCATTGCACAAGCTACAAACTTTGTTGGCTTATCAAAACACAACATCGACACATACACACACTCACATACGCACACACACACACGTACACATACAGTTTCTGTGCACGTGCCGCAATGGGAAAAAAACGTGATGTTAATCGCATTTGGCAGCGACATTTTCTACATTTTCTATTATACTGAACTGTTTTTTAGTCGTACTGTTGCCAATAGTTATTGAATTTGTTGTGTTTAATGTTTGCTGTAGTCTAATTTAAAGGACATTTGTTTGGCTCTGGCTGTAAAGCGCGTAAATTACGTATACGCCGCGTGCTGCTCATCACAAATGCCAAATGCAAACGCAGCGTGCGACAATCTGGCAGCAAATTTGATTGCCAGCTTTATTATTATTACTACACATACACACACACACACACAGACACACACAAACATATATGCCCACGCGCATGATGACAGATATACACGCTCGAGTGGCACAGAAATCGCTTGAGTTGCTTTTATTTTGGGCAGCTGCTTAGGCGATGCTTGTGTCTTATGAGAGATTAACAAAGCATTTAATCTTCGCTTGGCATAAAATGACACAGGACAAACACCCACACGCATACACACACACACATGTACACATGCAGAAAGAGGTTAGATTTAGACTATGCTGTGCTTGTGTTTTGCTTTATTTATTATGCCAGCCTTTTCTTCTCTTTTTTCTCTTTTTTGGGGTTTTTATTGACATTTACTTGCTTAACGTGAGCCTTGCGTTCTTTTATTTCATGTTGTTGTGGTTGTTATTGTTGTTGTCGTTGTTATTGTCGTAGATTTTATTGTTGTTGTTGGCAATTGTGTTTTGCTGCTGCTGTGAATGCTGCTGCGACTGCTGCTGCTCCTCTTGTTGGTGGTATTTCAACAAAACTGCAATAAAGCGAATTTTTCCACACGTTGCATACTTTTGAGCGCTACTCAACACACACGTACCCGCTCACACACATACACACACGCAGTGGCACAAGAAGCACATACAGAGCGAAAATTGCAGTTACTGCCGCGACGGAAGCTGCTCGTGAATTTTAAAATAAAAAACTTTTTATACACATTTTTCACATTTGCTGGCTGGCAATATTCGTACAGCGCTCGGGCAGTGATTGGAATAATTGTTCGATTGTTGATTAAATTCGTTTGTTTGGCGAATTGTTTAATTGCAAAATGGCATTAGATATACGCACGCTGGTTCGCGCACACAACACACACGCATACAGGCACACATGCACACACACACGCACACAGGTAAAATTTTGAGTTGATTATAAAACGACAGAGCAAAAGTTAGCGCAACACTAGCAAAATAGCAGCAGCAATGACAGCGGCAAGCGGAGCGAAGCAACGCGACAACGCAATCAGAGCTTTCGCAGCTGGAAGTCTAACAGTCGCAGCAACAGCAACAGCAGCAGCAGCAGAAGCCGTAGCAGCAGCTTGGAAGGCAAGCGAAAGCTGCGACGCAAAGAGCGAAAGATGCGCCACTGAGCGCAATTGAAGAGCGTAAAGCAAGGCTAAAGCGCATGCGCCGCGTCAAAAATGTTGGAAAAGAGGGGCCTGTATATAGTGGAGAATGGGAACGAGAGCGACAGAGAGAGCACCAAAGGTAGAGAATGGGATGGCTGTTATGCGGATTATGTGTCAGTGTAACAATGGAAGTTTTATTGCAATTAACAGCGCTCAACTGTTGTCTCAGTATACGTGCGTCTGGGCTGCTGCTGTTACTGCTGCTGCTGCTGCTTCTGCTGCTAAGGCTGCTGCCCAATGATGCGTGACTGCATTGAAGTGGACGCGACATCTTTGCTGCTGCGCCTCATTAGTGTCAAGGCAAAGAGATCAGAAATGGCTGTAAGCGTGCCACAAGTATGCACATTACAGCCTCACATGCATTATGCATGCCACGCCCACACACACACATACAGACACACATTAGCCGGCTTGACATGCCGGGTCGTGCCCCGAGTCCAAGGCGACAAAGCAGACAAAAGCGTTGAGCGGCTGCACAGCAATTTCATATGCAGCCAGAAAGCACTTGCACATTTTGAGCATCGTCATCATTAGCATCAACATCAACATTATCATCATCCTCATCGTCATCATCGTTGTCATGATTATGAACAGTAGGCAGTCAGGCAGGCAGCGGCGTTGACGTTGACAAGGCTGCAAGCCGAGGGAGTTGCAACAGAGAAAGTTTTTCCTCCTTTTTTGCAAAGGAGGCGCCTGCCTGTAACTGTGTATGCTTAGGAGTGTGTGTGTGTGTGTATGCCATGCCTGGCAGTTTGTTTTTAATCAAGGCAAAACTGGGTCAGTTTGGGCTGCAACTAAAAATATCATTTATGTAGCTCAGCCAAATGCGCCAGTTGACTTTCCCTCCTCTTCATTTTATTTATTTATTTTCCTTTTTTTGTGTATGTGTGTGTGAATGCATTGTGTAGCCAAATATAAATACATATACATATATATATGGAATATGTATGCACATATTTGCGACTCTTTTACACTCACACACACTCACACAGTCTCACTTATACAGTTACCATTGGATGCTGTGTTAATTGCTACACAAATTCACAGCACTCACTGCTGTTAACGATGAGCACGACTGTTAGCTAACAGAGTAATGTAAGCGCTCTAACAGCGCCAGTTAAACTTCTGCTAAAGTTGACCCAGTTGCCTGGCCCCGGTCTGCCTATAAATAGAGCGCAGTATACAGTTGCCCTCTGAGCTTGGAGAGGCGAGAGCTGGGCAGACTCCACTCTACAGAAGCTGCATGTGGGCTGGGTTTTATGATGGATTTCGGGCCACTACGTTGCAGGCAATTGGCAGCACAAAGGCTTATGCGAATAAAATTGGTATTTATAAAGAGCTTAAGACGTTGGCACGACAGAAGTGAAGTGAGCGAGAGAACGAGAGAGAGAGAATGTGTATTGAAAACCTGATGGATAAGTTTTAAGCCAAGGCTCGAGGTGCTCTCAAAGCAATCAACAGGCCGTTGAACTGCCTTCGAATCGTGATTGAGATAGCTATTAAAAGTTCTACAAGAGTTTTGGTTATTTCTATGGAAAAGTTTAGCCAAGGGATTTGCTGAATACACAAGAAGTAGAAGTTTAGCTAAGATATTTAATAAGATATTTGGCTTGTGAATATGCTGTTAACTGTTTGAAATACAGCCAAAAGGTATTTTGATAATTTGAAATACCTCGGCGACTAAATTATAATCAAGATTTTAGCAAAAGGCGTTTTTCCCCTTGAACAACACTTACCTCTGACGATGTGAGATAACACATGCGCGAATCGGTGCTCTCTATAGAGGCCTGTTGTACAATTCCATAGCGTGATTCGCGATCGCTCAAATACTCTGATCGCAAACTATCCTGACGTATAAATTCAGCACTATGAAGAGGAAGTGAAATCATTAGCATATAGTTCAGATATTTAATATGTAAGAATAGCTACCGTTGCTCCAAGGAGTCAGCGCGTGCACTCTTATAACCGGAATCGTTGAGGCTGCTGTCTTGGCGCAGCGACGGCAGCGAGTCCCAGGGCGAACGCTTGTGACCAGAGCCGGCCATTTGCTGGGCCATCATGCCGTGGCCGGAACCGGAACCAATGGTCGAGCTGCCCGAACGCCAGCCATCCGAGTGACGGAACCACTGAGCACGTGCCGATTCCCCAATGCAGCTGGCACAGCGAGAGTTCGAGAAACTGAAATGGAACATTGAATTTATATAATGATTGACAGCTAGTCTTTCTATATGATAGTTACCTAGCATTGTGATCGGACAGATAGCCGCGATCCCTTTCCCGCTCACGCTCACGAATCAATTCGTTACGATCGCTGTAATAGCCATCCCGGTCACGATCGCGTTCCTTATCCCGTATGGTGGATAGGGGGCGATGCGGCGGCAGCGGCAAGGTCGAAGATTTTGCATTGGCTAAAGGGAGAGAAAAAATGAAATGAATGAATATGATTCGTGTATTTCCATATAGAAACTAATTTAAATACAACGTCTAAGGGCAAGCATCAGCATTTCAGTTCTCTTCGAATATATATTAAATGGGCTTTTTATTTCGTATAGCATTAGTTAAGAGACGTGCATTCAATGGAACTACTTACGCCTACGTAGTGGATATGGGCTGCGCTGTGTTGATCCTGGTAGGCTTTCAGCGAATTCTGATGATAGTTGTTTGGTTGTTGTTGTTTGGTGGTGGTGGTGGTGGTGGTTGTTGTTGTTGATAGTGATGAGGTTGTTGTTGTTGTTGTTGTTGTATGGTTATTGTGTTGGTTGATTGTGTGCGAGGGCGCATGATGAGCATATTGTGATATGTATGGATAGCATTTAAGTTTTAATTATTTAAATATTTATATTAAAAGAGACAGAAAGTTAGAGAGAAGTTTACGATAGCAAAGAGACAAATTATACAAAAAATCACATCTAGAATTATGAAAATATTTGGTTGATAGAAAATTAAAAATATGCTGCATAACATTTAGAAGAGAGCTGAGCTGAGGTGAGTTGGGTTGAGTTGAGGAGAGAGATTTTGATATGCAGAAATGGCTATATATATGGAAACTTTTGCTATAGCAGCAGAGAAGCTCTTGAATAAAGATTATAAATAATAGTCTTAAATAACTATTGACAGCGCTGCAGTCTCCCTGCATTCAGCTAACAAAGCCATTCTGATTTCAGCACGAATTCCATTCTTGTGCAGTTTGCCCTGCGAAATGCCCGGAATGAAAGGCAACCCGCATTAATCAGATTATCTCTGTCCAGCTAGCTAGCTATTCGGTATGCCAGCTAGTCTCTTTTTGTCTTTTTCTTTATCCCCGTTCTATCAAATTCAAGTGTTACATGGAAAAAGCGACTTGATTGGAGACATTGACGAGGGCACGAAGTGAAAACAACATTCGAGCTCAAGCTAATTAAAAATTCGATTAGAGAGGGGAGGCGTACAATAAAATGATAGCAAGTGGGTGGCTGGGAGGTTGGTGGTTAAAACAAAAAAAAGAAAAACAAGAAGTGGAAGAGCAAGAACAAGACGAAATGTTCAGCTACAACAACAACGAGAGAACAAAATGTTGAGTTCAAACTAAATTGGCTACGAGTACAGCAAGTCGAACGGAATCGAATGTGAACCAAAAGCGAAAAACTAAGCGAAACGAAACCCAAAAACTAAAACTAAAACTAAATCGAAGCCTTCAAGTGAGGTGACGCTGTGGCCAGGGCAACTCACCCAGATTCTCCATGCTCTGGGAGAGCAGAGCCTCGAACGTATGCAGGCTATAGGACTCGGCGTCCATGCCCTTGGCCAGCGTATTACGCAAGTGCATCTCGTACTCCATGAGCAGCCGCGAGGTGGGGCTGCCCGGTGTGGGCGTCACATTCGGCGCCTGCTGATGCTGATGGTGCTGATGCCTGGATGCCCGCTGCTGTGGGTGCGGCGGATGCGGCTGATGCGACTGCTGCTGTGGATGCGGCTGCTGGGGCTGCTGCTGCTGCCCATACGACTGATCCTGATCGGAGTTGCCATTGCTGGAGCTGGGCGTGGTCGCATAGCACTGGTTGTCGAACATCACGTTATCCGATGGCGGCGAGCCCTCGATGCAGCTGCGCTCGCGCTCTCGCTCCAATTCCAAGTACAGATTGCGTTGCGGATAACCACGACCGATTTCATGCGAAGATCTGCCCAGGTTTAAGAAACGAATTTAGCGAGAGGCACAAACAATTTCCGGACACAAAACTCACCTCGAGCCGGAGAAGCGCGACGACTGACTGCCGCTGTTGCGGCCCAAGGTATTGTTGTTCATGACGTGATGGCCGCCGCCAGCACCGCCACCGCCACCGCCGGCACCCCCACCGACGCCCACGCCCATGCCCATGCCCATGCCAATGCCGTGCTGATGCATGTGCTGCGGCCCCAGCGTTTGTGCGCCATTGGCATTGTAGTAGTTGTAGCGGCGTCGCCCCATCTCCGGCGACGTGACGGGGCTCTCAGTGCTGGGCATCGGCTTTAGCATGCGCTTTAGTGTGCTCGTGTCGACGTTCATGTCCTCGGTGCTCTTGGTCTTGCGTCGTGTGTTGTTGTTGATTACGTTGTGCTGGTGGTGCATATCGTGCGAGTGCGCGTCGCGTGTCTGCAAATGTGTGTGTGTGTGTGTGTGCGAGCGATAAAGAGATAGATTAGGTGGCTGGCGCAGACAGACAGCCCGTAGCGGGGCACAAAGCTGAGCCAGGTGAGCGACTGGTAGGCTTCACTCACCATATCATCGTTGAAATCCTTGGTGCGTGTGCCGGTTGACTTGGTGGAGGTGCCCACGCTCTGGTGCAGTCCGCCGCCAACCTGGGTGCCCTCGCTCTTCGACAGATCCATATCCATTTGGCAGGCGCCGGCATCGTCTGGGCCCACCTGGGAGCCCACATGATTCTGCGTGCACATGTCCGAGCCGCTGCCCACGCCGGTGACAATGACGCCCGGTGTGTTGGTATTGACGCCCGCATTGGCCACCATCGAGCCATCTTGCCCTTTAAGCTGACGTTGTAGGGTATCTATGAAGGGAGGAGGGAAGAGAAACAGAGAGTGGGAGAGGGAGAGAAAGAGAGTGGACGGGGTAGAGCAAATTTAGCATTTTATTAGGATCGTATTTCAAATCAGAGCTGGCAATAGACATTGCACAGTGGAGCAAATCGAATGATAAATTATTGAAAATAAAAATATAAAATCTAAATAAATTATATTTTTAATACTGCATATTTTATATGAATTTCAAGTTGACTTCAGAGAGAGAAGCTCGCAATCTTTAATACAGTACGAGAGGAAGCAGTACTAAAATGTGAATGGAACTGGTTCATTGAGTGAACTAATTTTATTTTTAAACACGACAATTTACTTTAAATTGTAATTTGTTATGCTGATATACATTAGTATTAAACTATTCTGAACACTTACCGCCTCCTTGGACCACGCCCGGCCCACCGCTAGCCACATTATCATAGAGCGAGGTGCTGCTCACGGCGCTTACAACTTTGCCCTGCTGCTGGCCATCGACATCGGTGATTCTGTGGGAGCCGACATTACGCGGCAATGTGGATGAACCTGCAATGAGTATGGCGATGAGATTTGATGGGTGGGATGCGGTGGAGTTGGCTCCTAATCTCTAGCTGTATAGACTTTTGGGTAGAGTGGCGGGGGTACATTGTATTACTTATTTATATATATGTGAAGAGACGGGTCAAAGCGTAAATCAAACGGTTAACTAGCACAACTATACAGGCGAAACATGCCCCATATAGACCGAGAGACAGAGAGAGAGAGAGGGAGAGTGAGAAAGAATAGAGATCGTCGCGTTAAAGCAAATCTTTCGAAGAAACATGAACTGGAAACGTAAAGCAATAGACGAGCAAACAAAGTTTTGGGGTAGTGGGAGTCGTAATTGCTCGTTGACTGAATGGACTTAACCGATTTGCTTATTCGATTCGATTTGGCTGAGAATTGGTTTTGGTTTAAGTTTTGACTTGGGTTTTTATTTTAGTTTTTTGTTTTGTAGTATTTAGTCTTAGTTTTTGGATTGGTTTGTTCTCTCACCTCTAACACGTGGATCGGTTCTCAAGCGCGCATACTGCTCGGCGGACATGCAGGTGCATTGGGGCTCTTGGCGCACGCGCGACGGCGACGCCGGAGTGCTGAGAGGCTTTCGCTTGGCCTTCACCTTGCCCTTGCCCGGCGGATCCAGTTTCAGGGAGTAGCTCGACGAGGCCTTTCGTGAAAATTTGAAAGAAGGCGACTGTAAAACGTCGCACTATCATTAGGTTAGTTGATTGGGATTACAAGGTTCTGTGTGTGCGGTTTCTGCTTTCTCTGCTTTCAAAATTCTTCTCTCTTTAGCTGTCTAGATCGATATAGATCTGATAGATCTATATATGACTGGCTCAAGTCGTTCCGACTTGGCGAAAAATAGCCGTACTATATCGGCTGTGGCTGTGACTGTGGCTGTTGCAGTTGCTTCGTGTGTGATTTTTATAGGACTTAGAGAACTATTAGAAGAGTGCATAGAGTTTACATAGAGTAGTACAACTAGAGAAGTGCTGAAGGCTTGAGTACATATATAAATATATATAGAGATATATTTTAGATTAGACATAGAAATAGATAGTTAAGTGAAGTAGACAAAAATACACATTCAAGCATTAGTTAGTTAGTTAGTTACTTAGTTAGTTAGTAGTTACGAGTTTAGTTAAGTTTTTTGAAGCCTTAAGAGTGCATTGCATTAAGCAGGGTATACTTTACTTTAAAGAGCTAATCTCTGCGCAGTGAGGCTCGAGGAAGCATATTAGGGCGCTAAGCGCACTTACAACTAAATTCACTTGATCTAATTTGATTTGATTTGATTTCTTCGAATAACATTTGAACTTTCAACTTAACCTAACAATTTTCAACACTTAGCTTTTAATATACAATATATGCTTATTTTTGATTAACTTGCTGCGAGAACAATTATTGTGAGCCTGTGCGTGTTGCTTCGATTTTGATGTCGATTTCGATTTGATTTTGGTTTTAGAAACCTTAAAACTATGTTGCAAGAATATATTTTATATACTATCTTTGGCCTTCGCTTTTGGCACTTGGCTACACTTAAGTGGTTAACTGTTTATTTGGTCGCCTCTCTTGGCGATTCTCAAAGGTAGCTCTTGGCTAGCTACACTCTTCTACCTCCTAGCGCTGCTAACATTTGATGCGATTCAAAAATTTTGCATTGTTTTTGAAAGTTGTTTCGATATTTGATTTTCATTTGCGTATTTAAACCGCCCACTTGGCTGGGGATGAGGTTCTTAGGGCTGGGTGGGTTGTTGGGGAACTTAGGGCTCGTCGGAAACGGTTTGCAGTGGATAGGTAACGGTATTGTAGTAGAGGATACGTGCGATTGTTTTAAAGCGTTTTGCGTTTTTCTTTTGCATTTTCATTGTACGTTTGGCAATTCGATTTTAACACAATTATCATTCAATTCATCGAATTTTTCATGTTTGTATTGCAAGTTTTCAATTCATATTTATACATTTACAATCATTTATTGTTTTTCAAATTAGTTTTTGGTTTTTGTTTTTTGGTTTTTTTGCGCACGTGTCAAATGCAAACGAATCGAGTTGAAAATATATATTTATACATACATAAATATATAGTTAAGAGAGATAGAGTAGTTAAATAAAATTGATGTTAGATAATAAAAGCATTTTGGGTGGGACAGAGTTTCATAGATAGTAGATAGATAGATTTGTAAGTGGTGTACATTTAGAAATGTATTCAAAATTGTTGTTGTTCATTGGTTATTTGTTGTTTGTTTGATGTAGTTGTTGTTGTTGTATTCGTTATTGTTGCGTGTAGAGTATTCAATTTAAATTGTTGGTCGTTTGTTAATCGTTGTTTTCGACAACATTTATGTTTTCGTTACATTCCAAATTCAAGTACGACATTTGGTAGTTGTTTGTTGTATTTTTTAAGTATCAAATGAAATGCATCAAAAATGAAAGATTTGAAAACGAATTTAGTTTGGTATTTTTCATATATATATATTTATATATATACACAATTTTTTAAATAGTTTTTTTTTGGCGTGTTTCGAGAATGAATTCGAAAATGATTAGAAGAGAGAAAAAGAAATGAAAGAATATATAATATAAATACATTTAACAAATTTTAGTGGGTGTGCGTGTAACTGTATGTGTAAGTGACGTCAGTGTGTGTGTGTGTGTGTGTGTCTGTGTGTGTGGGTTCACTGTGTATGGGTGTCAATGTATGCGTGTGTGTGCTATAGAGTTAAATACAAGTAGTAGTTGTTGGAACCTTTGGAACTTTCAAAATACACACACACACAACAAGAATTAATAGGAACTTTGAACACTTATGAGTTTATTTGTTGCTGGGCATCAATTGGCTAGTATTTAACTGGTATATAATACATATAACTGTTATGGTATGCGTGAGTTATGTGATTAACTGGGTTGAGCAACTTGTGATTGAGGAGCGTACACAGAGAGAGCGTTTCGGTTGGCGATAGAGTAGGAGGGTTTAAGACACATAAAAGTGAAAAGCTTACAAAACAGTAACGACACTTAAGGACACTGTTATGTGTGTGTCTCTGTGTGTGTGTGTGTGTGAAGGAAAAAGAGAGAGCGTGTGTGTGTGTGTGTGTGTGTGTGTGTGTGTATGCAAGTATATGTATGTAGGTAGAGTTCTTACACATGCCCGACAAAGGGAAGCGCTACTTGAATGGGGGTATTTCAAAACTTAAATACATTTAGAGATGCTGTCTCTCTCTATATATATATAGTATATATAAATGATTTGATCATTAGAGAGTTATTGTTTTCTCTACTGTGATAGTTCGAAAAAAAAACATAGTTATTAATTAGTTATTTAAATAGTAGTAGTTAGTCTTAGTTAGCAGCAGTTTGTATTTAGTTGTTGAGTTTGTAGTAGTAGTGTGCTTGTGACAAATAAACAATATGAAGCGATACTAACGTATTTTTTTACAATGTAAGATACCTGCAACAAATGAGGCGCAAAGTAAGAAAAGAAACGAAACAATTATTAGATACTAAATCCAGACAGTTTATGTTGACTAAATGAGTGAATAGTAACTGTTGTTGTTGTGGAAGTCAGTAGTGTGTGTGTGCGTGTGTGTGTGAGTGTCTTCAGTCTGGCTAAGAAATTGATCGGAAATGGAAGTAGAAGCGAGCTTGAGCTTGAGGTATTTTATATTTTATATGCCTCTCATTTGGGTTCTCTTTCAATCTCTGATCATTTTCTCTTGTGTTTATATTCAATTCAACGTGTTCAAGCGGTTTAAGCACTACTATATATATGTAAGTATTACTTTAGAATTGTTGTCCAAATTGTTTACAAAATGGATGGATATTTTAAACGAGAGGAAAACGGAAACTCAATACAAAACATAAAATTCGAATTTTCAAGTAGGATACCAAATTTTGCGACAAATTTATTGATTATTCAAAGTATATATATTTATTATATGCATGTCTGATGTTGGTCAACTAAGAACGAGAATATATATACATATATAGAGTATATATACTTGTACAGGTATATTAAACGGGAGCAGTTCTTGTTTAAGCAGTTTTGAGAGCGGTGTCTGTGTCTGTAACTGTAACTGTAACTGTATCTGTGTCTATATGTCTGTCTGTCTGTCTTTATGTTGTAGCTGTGACTTCGACTGTGACTGTGACTGTGACTGCGACAGTGACTACGACTGATACTGACAGTGACTAATGGCATGGCATGAATTGAATCTATTGCGCGTACTTTGAATGATTTCACACGTTTTATAGCTATGGCAGGAGCTATTCCAGTAATTTCGAAAAGAGATATATATATATTCATTTATATCGTTAGTGGTTTATGGAACATAAGCGCCGTATAATCATCATTATTAATTCATTAATTCAACATTCATCACGGTCGGTCATCATCACAGCATCATCAACATCAACATCATCATCAACTGGTTGTTTGCATTTGTGGCAAGATGTTCTGGCAGCATTCAAACTGCTCCAAGGTGTTTGTTACTTGTTAAATAGTGTTGCTGTGTGTGTGTGTGTGTGTATGTGTGTGTGTGTATTGCTTTAGTGTTTGTTTTTGTGGTTGTTGGCTGAGGTGGTTCTTTGGTTGAGGTATCAGTTGAGGTGGTTGCTTGTCATCGTCGCGTTTGCAATATGCAGCAAACTGTAAGAGAATACTTACACAGCATTCCCGAAACTGCTTGGCATCGATGGGCGATGTGAAGTTGAGGCCCCAAGTATCGTTAGTCATTGGATCCTTCCAGTAAACAAAGCATTCTGATGCCTGGCCAATGCGTGTGCCTGTAAATACCACACACACACACACACACACACACACAGAGAGAGGGAGAGAGATAATAGAATTTTCAATTAGCAAAGGTAAACAGTGTGAGGGGGAGGTAGAGTTTCTCACCTGGCTGCACAAGTCGCACGTCGAGTATCTTGTCCACCTGGCTGTTGTACGCGGTGATGTGAAAGATGCACTCGGGCGAGTCCTGAATGCAGGTAATGTTAACAGGAACCAAATCTTCAGACACTTGTTGCCACTTGACGGTGCCGGCGCCGCTTGCCGATACGTGAAAGACCTCAGCCCACAACCTGAACGAACTAGGCGTTGGTTAATAAAACGTTTGTTTGACAAATTGATTATTGCAAAAGTTGTTGGTTTTGGTTCATCCAATTGATTGAGTTTGGTGCAAGTTTGTGGTTGAGGAAGTTTGATTTTGGAGGATCGATTGAATTGAAAGTAAAATCAAAGTGGGGAAGCACGGTTTGACAGTTGTTGTTGTAGTTGTTGCAGTTGCAGTCGTTTAGGAAGGAAAAGTTGTTGCAGATTTGTTGTAGTTGTAGTTGTTGTAGTTGTAGTTGCGCCCAACAATTTAGATTAGGCAGTGTGGGTTGTGTGTTGGTTGTTGAAAGTGTGGGCAAAAAGTCGAAAGTTTTTCGTTTTTGGTTTTTTTTTTACATTTAGATTTTTTTTTTTTTTTTTTTGAAAGAAAGAAAAACCAGAAGAAGAACACAATTAGTTAAATTACAAAAGTTGATCGAAATAGCGAATTCAATTGTTTTTGAGTTAGTTGTTTGTTATTGTTATGGTTGTTGTAGTTGTTTCTATCCATTCACATATACATATATATTTACAGCCAGTCGGAGAACAAAAGAGTCAACTAGTAGAGTCTAGAAGGATTCATAACGTTGGCGACTGTCAATGCCAGCCACGCCCACTCACCTTAAGAGATGACCATCGCGACGACGAGAGCTCTGCCAGGGTGAATCCTCATAGCGATAAGCCTTGCGCATCAGAGGCGCACACGAACAGCTCAATTTGTTGCCCATGGCGCAGTTAGCACAGCCCACCGCAGCTCCTATAGAGTGTGTTAAATGTAGATGGATCAGTTATGCATATAGACGTTATATATATAGTGGTGAGAGACTTACCTTTACCAGAGGCACCCCGATGTCACCACATGCCGGTCACGTCCGCCTGCGAGAGCGCCTGGCCGCGATTTAGCGACTGCGAACGTTGATTATGCCGATGGCCGTGGTAGCGACTGCCGCGCTGCAGGTGCAAGAGAGAGAGAAAGAGGAGTATGAGTTAATTTTAAAGATAAGACATGTTAACAGTCTGTAGATGGAATAATTTTCTACAAAAATATACGATAAAATTTATATTCTACTTTGATATCTTATTGAAATCCTGTCTCAATTTAATTTAGTTTTTTTATGTATTGCCTAAAACTTGCTGAATTGTTGCTTAAAAATTGAGAGTTACTTATAGATAAATTAATATACATATTATTTATTTATTGGAATATAGAAGATACTTTAAAATAAAAACCTTAGTATTATACAATAAACTTTTAATTTAGATCAAATTGTCAGCTCTCAAGCATGGCTAAAAGCTTAAGCTTACCTTAATCAAATTTGTTTTTGTAAGGTAAGAACTATCGAATAGTAATCAGAATTTATTTATTTATTTAGAATTAATTAAAATTAAATTCTGTAAGTCTTTTTCCATTAAGACAAGTCATATATGTGTGGTTGTTTATTGGGATAACTTTTATAGTCTGCTAATTAGCAAAAATCAAGTATGTACATTTCTGCATACTCTACATTTTAATGGCATCTTCATATATTTCATTAGGCACTTTTACCTATGTTAATTATAAATCACATATAAAACGAATAACTTTTCCACCTAAAAAATATATAAGGCAAATACTGATTCATCATTGAAACTCAGCATAAAATGCCGCAAGAATTTTAATGCAAGACATATTATATATTTCAAATAGGTATTTAAGCTCAAAGCATAAATTAAACAGCTTTGAGCCACACACACACCCGCACACACACATTAATATTTAATCACCCAACTCTTTGATCAATCTATGAAACGACCCACGCCGGCTGCAGCTGATGGCTATTATCACCAACACGTCTCTCTCTCTCTCTCTCTCTCTCTCGCGCGCGCGCTTTCGAGGTGCGAACGCAGCGAGTTCAACGCTATTGCTGACCAAAATGCACTCCGCGCCCCCTGCCACATGCCGCATGCTGCAGCGACTCTAACGTGTAGGTGTCAACAAAAAACAAATGAAAAAGAAAATACAAAAAAAAATAAATAAAAATAAAAAAATGCACCTCAGCGATTTCAGGCGCTTTGAAGTTTTGCTTTGATTTAGATGTTTATGATTTGATCTGATCGGTGAGTTTTATGTTCTTTGACACACACCAGCACACACACTTGAGCACTCACAGATGTTGCACATTGGAAGTTTGCGGCTGTCGCACTTATTTATATGAATTTAATTTTAAAATTCCTCTGCTACACCTTAAGTCTGTATATATATGGACTAACTGTATATATATAAAATATATGTATTTTTTGGCTGTCTGCAGCCTGTTGCTGACCACATTTGTTGTTTATTATATATATTTATATACGTATAAATATATTCTTTTGGCTGTTATCTATTTTTGTTTACAGCCTCCGGCGTTGAGACAAACACAGACACCTGTTTACGACCTGGCTGCGGTCATGGGTTGCGTTTAGCTATTGTTTATATTAATAATCGAATTAATGTGTGCCAAAAGAGCATTCGAAATACACGCCACCGACTCAACTAAACAACTAAAAACACACACAAATCGGTTGAAAAATCAAAGCGCATTTTCATTCATTCATTCAGCTGCTACGTAACGCTAGAGTGCGAGAGAGTGAGAGCGAGAGCGAGAGACTCTTGTACTCTCTCGATCTCCGTCTCTGCTTCTCACGATGTTGAGCAGCTCTCCACATCAACTGTAAATCTTATGCAGCAGCCTCATTGTCTCCACACGATCTCGCCCACACACACACACACACACACACACACACGCAGCATTTGTTTCGGCTGCGCTCAAGAGCTTCAGAGAGATCTGGGCGATAACCAGACTGAAATTTCGTCTGGCCCGCTTGCTGCGGCTGCTGCCCCATCAAGTGGATGCCACACAGCACTGCACGTGCTGGCTTGCTAGCTTTTTTGTTGTGTTTTGTCTTTGTTGAAATTTATTTTTAAAGTCAATCAAATAACGCTCAGTCGCTCAATCTCAATTGTCGCAGTGTGGCATCATCAAATCGCAATAAGGAGTGAAGGTGGCGACAGCTCTGCCCATTTTTTGAGTCACACTTGCCACACAGACGCTGCCCCATTCACCAGTTGACAAATTGGACTGGGAGCGCCAGTGCGATTGACAGCATGATAGAGTAAGAGATGACTAACGCATGATTGCATATATTTATAACGCTTGATGGGTTAAGAGCTCTAATATTTGTAGATTTTGTGGGGTAGTAACAGAAATTAGCAATACAAAATAATTGAAGGCTGTTTATCTATAAGTATATAGATACGTTTCAGATGTGTGTTATACACTGAGCTGACAAATTTTATTAAGTTTAGACAGATAAATAAAGAACATTAGCTATGTCCAGTTCGTTTATATTTAGCAACTAAACTGAAATGTAAACACAAAATGCAAATTTAATAAAGAAAATAAAATATTTAAATAAATATAAATATCTCAAGAAATGTATATCTCTGTGAAGTTTTACAAAGGCTTGAAGTTAGGGATTTTTGAAAATTATTTTATACTCCGAAAATTTACTTCTATTGAATTAATAAAAAAAAAATAATAATAATAATAATTATTTAAAAATAGTATTTAAAGAATTTAAGTTTAATTTTTTTGTAATTTTTTATATTTGTCCTCATAAACAAAATGGTACGTCTTTTATGTTTGTCTAAATATTAACAATATAGTATAATATTTGTAGGGTGAAGGTAAGTTTGATACTTAAACATAAAAAATAAAAAATGCTACAAAAAATTCTTCATAAATTTAATTTCCGAATTAATTTAAAAAGGCAACCATAAAATATATAAATAAATATCAAAATAATAAAGAATTGAAAGTATAGGAAAATAATATTAATATTTTAATATATATATTATTTTATTATTATTATTATTATTATTATTATTATTATTATTATTATTATTATTATTATTATTATTATTTATTTATTTTTTTATTTTTTTTTTATTATTATTTTGAGGAGGTATTACAGTCTTTTCATTTTAAAAACTTGAAAATTCGTTTGCAAATTTAAAAAAGTTACAGAAAGGCCAAGAAAAACCTAAACAACCCTAAATCAATATTATCTATCAATTATTGAAGCCTTAATACAAATGGAACTAGTCCTTTTAAGCTTCTAGAGACAGCGGACAGTAAATATTTCAGAGCTCAGAGTAGCAGCAAGAGGGACTGCTTCAGTAAACAAATGTATATAAAATCACAATAAACAGTTATATAAATAGTTTATCATTGGCAACTGATGGGCTTATAAAAATATTAATGTGCTTGTTATTATTATTATTGTTTTGTATACACACCTCCACGTGGCCCCAGCCATCGGCATTCATTTTGACGGCTGCCTCGACACTTTCCTTGGCACCCATTGCGTGTTTTTTAGTTGTTTATATTTTTGGTTTGTTTCTACCGTTATTGCTAGTTTGTTGTGCTTGATTGTAGTAGTCGATTGCAGTTACAGCTGTAGCGTTTTTGTCTTGCCCAAATATTGCTTAGGCCTGTGCGAATTGTGCACGGGAGAGTTGAGTCCACTCGACTTGAAGCGAGCTGGTGTGGGCGCAGTAGCAGGAGACTCGCAGCAGCTGTCAGATGTTATTTATTATGGTGCTGCGGCTGGACCAGGCACCAGATGAACCAGAGCCACAGTCTGATACCCAGGACCTCCAGTGGCGTCTGCGTCTGAGTCGTCAGCAGCTGGAGCGTGAATCGCGAATTGGTATCGTGCAATATAAATATTGAGCGGATTGACGTTGACGTCGCTGCTGATGCTGCTGCTGTCACGCTCTCCGTCTCTCCCTCTCTCTCTCTCAGTTACTATTTTGTGCGCTCTTGTTCTCTCTCCCTCGCGTCGAGTATTAGTGAACGACGGATGCTGCTGTTGAAAGCGGCTTTCAATCAGCTTTCGTCCAGTTGAAAACGTCTGTTGTAAGCAGTTAAATAATAGAACAGGCAGAGCGCCTCCTGTGCCGACTCCTTTTATCCTTTGTATCCTATATGCTATATGATTGTTGTATGTTTTATTAATGCAGCCTGGTATGTGGCTGCCTTTCACAATGTCACTTGAAAATTTCACTTTTGGTGCGTTTGCTGTGTTGCTGTTTTGTTTAACGGTGCGTATGAATAATTGATTTGCTTGCAGTTCTCTAGCTCTTTTCAGTTATAAATATTTATAATAGTTACTTTGTGCCTGTTGTGTTTAAGTTATGATTGCGTTTAGTATATTTTTAGGTATTTATTCATTTATTTCAACAATCTGTGTGCTGCTGCTTTTGATTTGGCAACGCCTTTTGCCTATTCACAAAAAACACACACAAAAAATTGTTCTTCTCCTTCTTTCTTTCTTTTTTTTTTGACTGCAATTCCTTGTGCACTTGTGTGTGTGTGTGTTTTTGTGTAATTTGTTTGTTATTATTTATGCATTCAATTTGCAGTGCCTTTAAGTGTTTTTCAATTAGGTTTTTATTAATATTTATTTAGATTTTTTATTCACAGGAGCAGCGGCAGCAATAGCAGATGATGAGGACATGTCGTCGCTCTGTGGATTTGCGTGTGTAGCTGCCTTCTGGCCTGCCAAAATACCTACAAAACTTGACGAAACGAAATGTTTTCACTTGACGAAGCACAGAGAGAGAGAGAGCAAGAAGGAGAGCGAAAGCAGTCAGCCAGAGAGGCTGAGAGGCAGCGGCAACCGCACAGCAGCCGCCGTCGCAGCAGCAGAGAGCAAAGCAGCGCAGATGAGCTTCGAATTACAGCGACAGCCGAAAATTGCCTGCTCTGTTGCTGTTGTTGTTCTTGTTGTTTTTGTTGTACAACATATATTTTAATTTCGATTTCTTTCTTGCTTTTTCGTTGCTCGTTCGTCGTTATCCTTTATTTTGTATGCCTCCGCTCTTCGTGTTTGTGTATGTGTGTGTGTGTGTGTGTGTGTGTGTGTGTGTGTGCCTTAGCTTAGAGGTATGTGCAGTCGTTGGCTGCTGCTGCTGCTGCTCTCCACTCTGACCCCCTCGGCCCGCTTATGTATGTGTCTGTCGCCGCCCTGTGCTCGTGCGTGTGGCTAAAAAGTTGCATAAATCACCACACCTTAATTTACTTAAATGTCAATTTTTGTTTAAAAACACTTTACGCACAGCTTCTGCGTTTGGCAATTGCCAAATTCTAAACTTATTTCGCCGTTGCTGTTATTTTTGTGCGCTGCCTAAAAGCATGCTACACTTTTTTCACACGCTTCGCTCGGTTCAGTTGTTGATTTTTCGCTTACAATTTTTGCAGTTTGGCCAGAACGTGGTTTGAGTATAAGTGTGTGTGAGTGTTGTATATATGTTTATGTATACATGTGTGTGTTTGTGTATATTTTTGTGTTAAAAGCGTTTTGTCAGTTGCTTCTGAAAGCAGCACCGGAGCAAGCAGCGCGAGCCACACAACCGTCGACTTCGAAAATCGCTTTGACTTTGCGAGCAGAGCAGAACGAACAGGAGCAGCAGTAGCAGCAGCAGCAGCAGCGTCAGCTGGCAGCGACATCTCTGCTGTGCGTCGCTGTCGACGTCAGCATCGCTGCAACTGTTGGAATGTGTGCCACATTTTTTGGGGTGGCTGCTGCCACTCGCTCGCTGCCTCTGCCTCGGTTTTTGGCTCTAGCTCTGGCTCTGGCTCTGCCGCGGTCGCTGCTTTTGACGGCCTTTTGTTGTTTTTGTGTTGATGCTGCTGCCGCCGCCTCTTCTGCTGTGTTTCTACTGTCTCTGCTGCTTCTTTCTGTTTCTGTTTAGTGTTCGGACGCATTTTGTTACATTTATTTTACATGTCGCGTGCTGTTGCTGTCGTTGTTGTTGCTGTTAGGACGTCAAATGAAAGTTTTTGCCATTCTGTTTCGTTTTAATGTCTCCCCGATGCATGTGTGTGCGAATGCGTGTGTGTATGTGTGTGTGTGTGAACATGCACGTTTGTGTGCGTTAATGTAATATTAATGTTATAATTTGCTAGGCGTACGACGACGCACTCAACCCGCTCGCAAGCTCCACACACACACACACACACACACACGCCGAGCACATGAATGTATGTACGTGCCAAGTTTTTTGCATTGGCTGTGGCCCATAAATAATGCAGAGGGTTGCCAGGTGGTTCTTGTGGGCGAGTGGGTGTTTGGTTAATGGTGCTGTGGTGCAAATGGTCACTGGTCAAACAGATTGAACGTGCGCTTCAAACAACAAGTCAACTTTTTATGACCCCAACAACAAAACTATTGCAATTTTAACTAACCGCAAGAACGGCAACAACAACAATAATAACAGATGATTATCATGGGACACACACAGCCAGGCACACACACACAGATACACTCCAGAGTCAGAGTCATATCCACCCACACACGAAATGTTAGCGTCTGACTGAGGCACGTTTAACATACACAAAGTAAAAGTGAAAAGCAACATCAAAATTAATAAGTAGAAAGGATGCTGAGTGCTCTGCGGCCAACGGGCCAGCAGCGACGTCAACGGCGACGGTGACTGCGACGCCAGCAGCGCAACAATACACAACAAACACAAAGTAGCAAAAGCAAATTGCACGACAGACAGAGAAAGACAAACAGAGAGGATGTGAATGTGAGCGAGAGAGAGGGGGAGAGCGAGAGCGAGAGCGGCTTAGTGCGTCGGCGTCTTTTCAATATTTAACGAAAGCCTCGTCAAGTTATCAATGTGTTTCCATTTGCTGCGGATGCTGCATCAATAATAATAATACTGCCAGCCACTGCTTGGGCACTGCATTCATTTGCCAATAAATACATAATTGAACAGCCTTAGACCGGCCCGAAGCACCCAGGAGAACGAATGGCCGATGAGCGGTGCGGCAGCATTCGATGCCAGGCAGCAGCTGGCGGGGGCAAAGGCAGCGTCGCGACGCATTCAAGCTGCAGGTTGCAGTTGCAGCTGGGCGGCGGCTAACAAAAACAAAAAGCAACGGAGCACGCACACTCACACACACACACACACACATACAGCACAGACACAAACGGGATGCGCCAGGCTCACTGACGTCAGACCTTCACACGCATTCCCGCACACATACACACGCACCTATATTCACATGCACACCCCACGCACAAAGTCAGTGCCTCTGCTGCGGCTGCTGCTGCTACTGCTGCTGCTGTCGTTATCTCTTTAAGACACGTCATTAGAAACTGCAGCGGCTGCTTGCAGCGAGCAGCAAAAAGGCGCGCCTGGGCAGCGGCAGCAAAAAAAATAAGAGGGAAATAAAAAGCCAAACAACAAAAGTTAGAAGCTGCTGGACCTTGCTTGCTGTAAAATGTCAAAGCTCTTGTAATTGTTGTTGTTGTTGCAATAATTGCCAATGTGTGTCGCTTTGTTGTTGCGTAAGGTTTTTTAGGGCAATTGGAGGGTGTGGTTCACCGGGGTGCCAATATAATGTACAATGTATGTATGTACATACATACAAAATATATATACATACAAACATATACACACTCACACACAGGCAGAGGCGGGCAAACACATGTGTTAGACGAGATTGACACAGTTTGCTGGGTGTTTGGGCATCTGCGCCGCTGCGCAAAGCTTTGGCCAATACTTCGTTACGAGAACTTTCCTGCTGCCGTGTTTTTATGAATGAATACACGTCAGCAACAACAACAATAGCAGGAGCAGAGCTTTTGCGCTGTGAGCGCTGAGCTGGGGCACGTGCTTTGCAACAATGTTACTTTGAAAAGAACAATATAAATGCTAATATTAATATTTTTGAAATTATAAGCTGCAAACATTGAACTCATGTAATATAACTAAAGAAATATCTTTAATGTTTCGTTAATTTATAATATTCAATTTTACCGCCATACGCCTACAAATATCCTAAAAATTACCACCACTATCGATGTAGCGCGTGCCACAGCGTTGCTACGTGTGTTTATCGATGTTTGCAGTGCTGCGCAATGGTGTTTTTACGCCGCTACCAACACTGCATGCAAACCGTGAAAGCAACAACAACTTGTGGCATGCAAAAGCAGTGGCAGACGGCGCCGTTTTTCGAATTTACAAGTTAAATTGCAATCATTTGTACACATAATGTTTGATGCCGAAGCAACAGAAAAGGAATTGCGTAGCTTAACAAGTGTGCAAGTTGGACCCGAAACCAAAGGTAGGCAAAATAATTAATATTCCAGCAGCGTCTAATTGTGTTGATCCCGACCCCTCCAGAATATAATTTATTGCGTGCGGACGAGGAATATCGCAATGGCAATGAAAAGGATTCGATTTATTATCAAGTTAGAGCACTGTTTCAGTGCGCAGATATGCGACTTCTAACCGAGGCCCAGGAACTGGAAAACCAACTGCCGAACGCTTCTGAAATATTGTTGGAAGCGACGCCCAGGGAGAAGGCCGACTACAAAAGGTGATACAGTCGTACATTAAATGCTAAATATAGTATTTAATTATACCACTATACCAATTACTAAACTTACTCTCTTACTCTAAACAGAAACAAATTTCTACAAAACATATTAAATTACCAATTGAAATTGGAGGAATGCACAAGAACGCCTAAAAACACAGCCATCGATAGCTTGGACTTTCTGCAGGACGTGCAGGATCCAAAGGTGGGCTATGCGCGCATCACAGAAGTCTGCCATCAACTGCCAGAGGAGTGGTGTGTGCTGCAGCTCTGCAAGAGCTTCAATGCAGCCACCACTTACTCCACATTTTCTGAGATCGCTGCTGCCAATGGCGACATTTATGTTTCTCTCCTGCGGCACTGTCGCAGTCCAGAGCTGGAGCCCACTTGCCTGCACTTCAATAGCGATGCGCTGGGTAACTTGTTTAAGGAATACGGCACCATGGTGGAGCGTTTTCGGCGAGTGGTCACAGTCGATCCGCTGGCGGTAAAGGATCATGAGTCCAAGGCTAAATACTGGAAAGAATTGCATGCCTTCGAAGAGTACTTAAAGGTGCCTATCATATATATTATCCATATGATTATAGTTGCTAATCTTTAAACCTTCCAGAAACTAATTGCCGATCTGACCAGCGTTTTTATGCCCTACTGTTTCATGTTTCTGGGCAAGCGCTATGCCGATGCTGCAGTACAGCAGCAAACCAAATTGATTTTTGATCGCGTTGATGAGTTCTGCGTGGAGCACAGGTGGAGCAATCATCAGCGTATACTGCTCTCACAGGCGGCGCTGCATGCGAATCGTTTGCCACACGAACAGATGAAACAGCTGAGCTATGAGCTAAACAGCAACAGCAATAACAACAAGAATGAGACTGAAGCGCTGCTCGTCTATGAGCTGCTCAAGAGTTGTGCCACTAAATGGCAGAAACTCGAACAGCGTCAACCACTGGCTGCTAAACGCTTTCCCATCATTCTGGTGGTAGATGAGGCAGGTTGAGCGTATTCCATGTTACATCTCAGTCGGCTAATTCTTATTGTCTTTCAGCGCCTGGATCATATGCACTGGGAGCAGCTGGCGCCCATGCAGGAGTGCACGCGCATCAAATCGCTGCACAGTTTGTGGCGCCTGTTCAAGTACCACAAGGCACAGATTCAGCACGGCTACTATAGGGTCAATATTAAGAGTGGCATAACGCTCGTCAATCCCGATGCTGATCTGGAAAATTCGGGCCGTCGTCTGCGCAGCTTTCTCGAATACTGGCTCAGCCACTGGCAGCATATGTTCGAGACGGTGCCCACGGAGCAGTTTATGATTGAAAAGGCTTTCAAGGCCGATTGTTTTGTGTAGGTAAAACCCTGGAAGCCACCTGGTAAACAGATGATACAGTTGAGTTCTTTCAGCTATGCGGGTCACGGCTCGAGTCTGCAATATGTTTCCAGTCGCTTGATTTATCGCAATCGCATCAAGGGTGTCATCTTTCTTTTTGGCTGCGACTCGACGCGCGTGCTCAGCTCGGGTCTGTACAGTGCCTTATACGGAGCACAGGACTACTACCATGGCGCGCTCTGTCCCACTGTGGTGGGCACATTGATGCCCGCACTTGATGGCAATATGGATAATGTGTCCGCCAATATACTGAGCCAGTGGATAGCACCGGCCGAGCAACAGATCATACCCTGGGCAAGCATTGATCGCGCCGCTTGGGTCTCGCAGGGCACTGTCAAAGGTAAGTGTTTAGATTATACATAGAATCTCACTAATTTGCTATCTTGGACAGCAGCACTCAAAGGGAACAGCGAGACTCTGGAGCAGCAGCCGGACTATCATACGGGCAGCCTAAGCGCCATTTTGGCCAACGTGCAAATGGGCAAAGTGGAGCCCAAAATCTACAATGGCTGTGTCTACGTGTGCCGAGGTTTGCCGGCCTGGAATGCAGCTGTGCAGGAACTGCCCTTTTAAGTAGGGACGTATGAAGTGCATACTTTTATATTACTTTTTTTTCAAATTTAGATTAAGTGTCTAATGGAGTAGTACTATTTAGGTCCGTTTGCTCCGCCTTGAATTCATGCGGCAACAGCTGTCCTCTTAGATAAATCTTATAACTAGACTGAGAGTGGAGAGATGCGCACCAAATGTTATCATCTATTCGGATAATGTACGATTATGTATATAAGTAAAGAAATAGCACTATTACCCACCGCTAGTCGCCTTGCATTCAAAACATAAGACTTATATTTAGTTAAAATTATCTCACTGGTGTATCAAATAACTAGCCCTAGGTTTGCAAGTTAAACGTGCTCGGAAATGTTGCATAAAAGTTCAAACACAACACATAGAATCGCATAAGATATCAAATAACATATAGATTGATCAAAATTGTGCCCATGAACTTACCTTGTTTGGCGTGCAAATTGAGAGAGTGAAGAAGTTTATTGAAGTTGCTTTAGCTTTAAGTTATTAAATATTTGTGTCGTTTGAGCACTGGAACTGTTTTAATTTGTTTTCTGTTTTTGTTTATCTTTTGTTTAGGGGATTTTGTGAGGTTTTCAGTTGAACTTAGACATTTGTTTTATTTTGTACAAACTTTAGGTTAGCTTGTTGGAACATTCACCGTTTAGTATTTGATTATTTAGTACTGCCATTTGAAGCATGCCACAGTTTTTTGTTTGGTTTTTATTTATATATTTAAATATATATGTATATGTAAAACGCCTGTGCAAAATTTGAAAGAATTGTAGTTGGAATAATTTGTGAGTTGAAGGAATAAAATTAGAAAGTGAAAAGGTGAGGTGCGTTGACAGTTAGATAGAGACTGCTTAAAATCTAAGAGCAATCACACACAAACAATTAGATATGATAAAGTGAATAATTTGATAATGTTTGCTTAAGTTGAATAATATGGAGATTTCAAAAAGTAATTGCAAAAGTGAAATCAATTTCATTGCCCGCTGGCAGCTCTATATTTATTAGCCTGACAGCTAATTCCAAATGAGCTGCGCCCATTTAAAAGCTAAGGTATGACTACGTAGTTCAGCTTGGCTAGAAAACGCCCATCAATTTATTTACTTTGCGCGCATTTATTCGTTTTTCTATTTTACTCTTTGCGAAATGTGGTTGGTGGAGGGGCGCTGGCTGGGGCGGTTGGTTTGTTCTCTTTTGGCCAAGGGCTTTTTTGGATGCGAAAGAGTTTTTGGCCCTCAACCTCAACATGGAATCCACTTGACCTACTAACTGCCTGTCGCATTATGACACACATTTCATTAATTAGGCGCTGGCCCAGCCAACAAAAAGGCCCAAAAACCGAATAGCCAAACAGATAGAAGTGAATTAGGAGACGACCTTCGGTCAATGCGGCGAATGCGTAATATTAGCATTTTGCTCATCGAATTAGTGTCACATATTTGCATGCTTAACACGCAGACACGCACACACCGACACACACACGCACACACAAATCAAAATCCACGCCCCATTATTATGGCCAACTATAAATATATATATTCGATGTGCGAATGTGTCCCTATTAGGTGCATTTTAAGGATGGTTCGTCCTTCGTGTTAATGTCTCAATGCCGTGCCCATGGAGCGTTTCCAGAGTGTATAAATCATTTTAGCAGCAGCAGCGCACACCTAAGCTGCATGCCACGCCCCCACACACACACACACGCACACACAAACACAGACACACGCTAGCACATAGATATATAGCTACTGCTGCTACACATTTGCCTGGCTGGACTTGTAACATGACAGGCGACAGCTTCAGAAACAGGATATTACATAACAGGCGCTGCCTTAACAGCGAGAGCGACATGTAAATGTGTGTGTATGTGTTCGTTCGTGTGTGTTCCGCTCTACGTTAACTGCATGTGTATGTGTGCGTGTGCGTGTGTGTGTGTGTTGTTATTGCTGTTTTGCTTTTGTCATTGTGAATTGAACTGCATTTGTTTTGCCTTTTTGTTTAAGCTTCCTTTTTCATGTCTCGCTGCCTCATTTTGTTTGTTGTTGATGCCTTTACAAGCACAAGCACACAGGCACACACATACACACACACACACACACACACTCACACAGCTCACTTACATTTGGCTTGTTTCATTCGCTTATTTCGTTGCACAAAAACAAAATTGAAAATTTCTTTTGTATAAAAAACTCAAAATACATTTTTGCAACCTTGAACTGATTTCTTTGATTTGATTTGAAATTGTTTTCTTCTCCTCCGTTTTCGTTTCCTCTTTTTGTTTTATATATTCATAAAAAAATGATTATATTGCTTATTGTCTTACTTTAATTTATAATTTTAAAGTTTATGCAAAAAATGTGTTACAAATGTTGTTAGAATTTTTTGGTTGTTTTTGTTTTGTTTCTGAAACGCTTTGTTAACTTTGGTTAAAATTCTTGTTGTTTAATTATTGTTTTTTTGTTTTTGTTTTTTTTTTTTTTTTTTTCAAATATTTTTTTTGTAGTTTTCTGTATTGTAAATTATTTGATTTTTGTAGTTTGTTAGTTTTGTGTTTGTATTTTATTGCTGCTATGTTTTTTTAAATCCGCCGCGTTGCACACAACAATTCTCTGGCAGAGATAAACTGAGACTGAGCCCGAAACTGAGGCCAGGCATTGGGCTCGCCTTGTGTGTGTGTGTGTGTGGCGTCCTTGCGCCAAGGCAGTTGCATCCTTCTGGAGTCTGCCCCTAGCCTCGCCAGAGCCGAGCGCATCATCCTCATCCGCGTTGCTATTCGTGGCACGCCACGCGCCAAAAAGAGAAGCGAACAATGTTGCAAAACTGATGTTGGGCAACAACAGGAGCAGCAGCAACAACAACCACAACTAAACATTTGAATCGCAAACCGCGACAAAAACAGCCGAAGGGATATTTCGCCCTCGCCCAGAGAGACATCGGCTGGAGAGAAAGAGCGCAACTTTCACCTCTCGCGTGCGTGTCCTCGCACAATATTCACATTGTTGTTGCCTGCTCCTGCTGCTAGTGTTTCTGCTCCTGCTGCTGCTGCTGCTGCTGCCTCCAATCTCTTCGGCCACTATTTCACTTTCACAGTTTCTAGCGACGGGGTTGAAGCTCAATGCCCAACGTGTTACAATGATTCTGCGTTTTCATTGTTGTTGTTGTTGTTGTTGCTGTATTGTATTTGTTGTTGCTGCCAGGCCCCAAAAAGCTTCACTGTTGTTATTGCCCAGCACGTGACTGGCCAAGAGCTTTCTTATCACTGCCGACCCCAAGGGTGTGTGTGTGTGTGTGTGTGTAAGGGATGCTGAGATTGGAGGCTCTCAAAGCAAAGCTTTTTTACATTTCTAGTCAATAAAATGTAAAACTAAGCTCAAATTCACATAGAGCTAAATAATGTACAGGAAATATAAATAAATTTTAAAGGAAAAAAAAAAAATAAGAAAGCCATTTGGTTTTTAGTAAAATCTTATATTTACTCACTAATGCTTAAGTTTAAATTTGCATATTTTGTTGTGACAAATAATATTAAATACAAATTATAAACATATTCTAATATGTTTTAATCATTTGTACCATAGTTTTACCTTCCAGACTTTAAGCGCTCTAAAATGCTACAAATCTAAAAGTTTACGCTTAGAACTAATCATTAAATGGCCTTTAGTGTATTCTTTAGCATGCTACCTGGTAAAGTTAAGCTCTAAATATTATACTTAGAATGCCTTCTCGTCGCCTTAAGTCTAGTTTTGCAGGCCAAAATTACTGCGCTTGGGCGCAGTTGTTGGCTGTACGTGAGGTATTTCTTTGATTTCATGCGTTTTGTACGTTTCGTTTGCTAGGTGTCGTTGCTTTTTTTTTTTTTAGAAGTTTTGAACTTCAAATGTGACCCCGTGTCGTTAGCGCTAGGGAGTTGGCTCGACAGCAGCTTCAGGCTGCTGGTCGTTGGCAACGCTTTTGCTTCGCCTGCTGGTTCGTGTCTGTGGAAAGTGGAAGATGAATTAACTAAAACCCTGCGCTGTGTACGTGTGGTGGATTTGCATGAACTCACCACGGTGGTGTTGCGTTGCGGGCAATCGGCATGCAGATGGTCCTCGCTGCGACAGCGATGGCAGCGCTTCGGCTGCGGCCCTATCGCGCACTCCGAGGCAATGTGATTGGCGAATTCGCCGCAATTGTAGCAGCGCATGCGGCGAGTTTTCTTATTGCTGCAGAGTTGAATATGATTTAGATGTGCGTTACTTCCTGCTCTCTCCTTCTATTCTTTTTCTTCTTTGTCTTTATGTCACTTACATGCGTGGCCGATAGGTGCTGCCGTGGCAATCATCGCCCTGCCGTCCCGAAACACGTGTCGCCTCCAGGCCGCGCGCTGTGCGCTGGCATTCAAACTCCACCTCCTCCTGCTCGCCCAGCGAACGAAAGCCGGACATTTGTATGACGCTCTGTGTGTCAACAGCAATTGAGTGACATTGAAATGTAAGTCTGCGTGTGTGTGTGTGTGTGTTACCCACCTGATGCACAAAGACCTCCTGGCCGCCATCGTTGGGCGTTAGGAAGCCCCAGCCCTTGGCCACATTGAACCATTTGCATTTACCCAGGCGCACGCAGCCGCATTCCTCGCCCGGCGCCGCTGCAAGAGAATTGTAAAAAGTATTTGAGTTGATGGCAGCGACAGCGTTATCCTGAATATCCTGCCTGGGTATGTGCTGCAATTGTTTTGTTATTCAAATGAGCCGCGGCTAGCAGCGGCAGCAGCTGAACTTCTTAAATGCCTAACCGTGTCCTTGTCCCATTTGCCGCAAGGCAATGCTCAAGACAAGCTAAAACCAAAAACTCTATCGCGGCAACAGCAACAACAACAACAAGAACGACTGGAGAACAGGTTTCGTTGTTTCTATTAGAAATATTTTTGGAGAGTGTAAATACGCTGGAGCGAAATAAAGCGATTGGATTGAATTGAATTGCTTGGGAGTTGGTTGTCATACGAAAAATGTGTTTGTATGAGTTATGCTTTATCTGTGCTATGAGTGCGTGGTTCATCTATAAACACGCTCTCTCTCTCTCTCTCTCTCTCTCTCTCTCTCACACACTTTCAGAGTCGAGTATATTTCATTCAGTTGCTGCGTTCATTCATAATTTGATATTTCGATTGCGTTCCATTTTAGGCTGCTTATCTTTCGGTATGCGTTTCGCCTATGCAGTATCTCACTGATACATAGATACGCTGCACTGCATACCCACTTTGCTGATAGCCCTTATCTGAAAAGCCCATATAAAATGCCTTTCTCTTCTAGAGGGTTGTTGCTACCGAACCTCAAGAGTTGCTCGTTGTCTTCTTGCAACAATTGCTGGCTCGTTAAGAATGCGGTTAGAAATTTCAATTAAAGAGGGTTCAAATTAATGGGTTTTCATTCAAATTGATTAGATGAAATGTCAAAAGACTAAAAGAGATCGGATCTATGAGTGTTTTATGGAGATTTATATGGATACTTGAGACTTATAGATTTTGATTGTGGATTGTTACTTGATTGGACTATTTTCTTATAAGCTAGTGGCTAGATCTATAAGAATTCGATTATTCTTTATATTTAAATTTCTGTTTCTATCAAAACTGAGCCCTATCGGCCATTCCTTTCTTTGTTTTCATGTTTTCATTTCGAAATACATATTTTAATTACTCCACGAATATTTGTGTGACACATCTGAAGCATCTACTCTGTCTGTCCCGCACCTTTCCATTGTAAAATCTCTCAATTAGTTTAAAAATATATATATAGAAGATCTTTAGCTAAAAACAACCACCGCATGCCTGAGCGACTTTCGACGTGCGGGAAAACGCGTCTATTTCTCTATTGGCGCTTAATTTTCTAGCCGATTCACTCGACTATAAAATAAAGAAGCGCCCAAATTTGCCTACAAAAATGTTGTAAGACGAAAACTTGTTTTGTAACTTGGAAAAAACTTGTCAATTGGAAATAAATGACACAGAAATATGTGAGAAATGCAGTCAAGTAAAAAGTTGAGGCCGAAAGAAATTCATGGGAAATGTGTAGAAAATGTTCAGCTATACGGGGTAGGGTAGGCTAGGGTAGGGTCAGAGGGCGGTTTTTGCACATGCACTTTCGGGGTGGGGGGTGTGAAAGTGTTTCGATTTGCAATCGCTTTGAGGGTTGATCAACGTTCACCCATATGCCAATTTATACATAGAGGCGCATAAAAAATGATTTGCCAATAAAAAATGTCGGATGGCAAAAGCAAAACAGAAATGCGGAAAACAAATATAAAGAACTGCGTAGTACATAGCAAAACAGAAAATCAACCAAAACAACTCAGCGATCGCTGTGTGGCCAATCAGCGTTGAGTTTGATAAGATTTCGTGTTTGCTGTTGTTGTTGTTTTTTTTTTTTTTCTTTTATTTATGGGGCAACAGCCACATAAACAAAAGCGAAACTAGTTTTATTGTGGCCTCACTGATTTTGGATACGCTCTGGCTTTGTGAATGTGGAGAAGGGGAAGGGCAAAGAAGGGGGAGAGGGAAAGGGGAGATTGCTAGTATTACCTGGTGAGGTGCTATTCCTGGCGCCTTCAGAGGGTGCTGCTGCTGCTGGTGCTGCTGCTGCTGCCTCGCTGTTGAAATTGGGATTTTCCATGCTGATTAGAGTTCAGAGTTTAGTGTGATTTAGTGTGATTCTTATTTCCTTCTTATTGCTCAGTATTTTATGTCAACTGCAGCATGTTCCTGCTGCCTACACTATGCAGCACTTGAATATACACACAATGCACACATAGATGCAGTCACAGATACACACGCACGCACACACACTCGCCCAGAGATGGAAACGTATTGGAAATGAAACTCGGAAAACGGAATCGATTGAAAAACGCTGCCGCTGCGCACGACGCACTTCGTCACACTGAACTCTGAGTTGCGTTTTACTATTTCTAGGAAGGCCACAGTGCCTGAAACACACACACACACAAACATAGGCACACATCACACACACACACATACGCACATACGTGCAGCGCACAAAAGACAACCCGAAATTGTAGCTGTATCTTCAAAAACAATATTCAAACACGGCCACGACGCACATGATGTGTGTGCGTGCGTGCGTGTGCGAGCGGGACAGCGAATGGCCATAGTGCGTGCGCGTGTGTGTGTGAGTGTGGAAAAACATTTGAGTCGCGCCGTGTTGAGCACTGAACGTAACAACGTAAGCGTAGCTGACAGACACTTTTACGTAGCGATCGCTCAGTGAGCGAGCAAAAGAGAGAGAGGGAGAGAGAGAGGCAGAGTGGGAGAGCGCAAGCAGCAGAACATGCTCTCTGAGCACATTAATTGCTTTTGTTGGTTATCTGCGTTTTAGATAAATATTTGGAACTGTACGTTTCTCGATCAGTTTGTCATACAGTCTGTTCGACTGTTATACGCACTGCTGCCGACTGTAATACAGCGGTCTGTGGCCTGGCCTGCTTTCTGATAGGCGGAGGGCATAAAAAACAATCAGCACTCTGATTGGCGGCCCAAAAAATTGCATAAAAAAGTGCACAAAAAAAGCGGCACGCACACTCGCACATTGGTCGCCGTGCCACCCCGAAAAATTGAATTTCTGCAGATTATGCACACAAATTGGCGACGTCGCGTGGCAACGCATTTTTACCCTCCTCCTGCGGCAATGCGTGGCATTATTGTGCAACATTTTGCGAATGTCTACTGCCGGGGCTGAGGCTGGGATGCAATTTATCATGGCACGTGCCACAGTGTTGGCCGTGCTATGTGGCATGCCAAATCGTCGGCCAATGCCGCAAAATGTTTGATGACAGCACGGCAAAGGGCGGTTGCACGAGGGTGAGACGATGCGAGGGTTTATGGCAGAGATTTACGGTACGTGAAATGAAACACATATAGAAGTGGTATATAGATATCTATATACTTATATAGCATTATATGCACATATATGTGTGAAAGTGGAAAAAATGTGACTAAGGAGTGCTTGAGATGGAGTGCTACAGACAAAATCATGGACTTCACTTTTAAGGAGAATTGCGGGTTTCATAAATATTTTATAGGTAATATAAAATCAGAAATAATTAAGTTTACAAATATATACATATGTACATAAATACATACATATATACATTGTAATGAATAAATATTATTCAGAGACAAATGACCTATGTATTCAAATTCATAGATAGACATAAATATTTACTACAAATTTAAATATACATATATACATGACATAAAATGTAAGTATTAAAGGCAAAGAACTATTAAGAGCAGAAGGAATTTAAATACAAAGTGGGAAAGAGGAAGCTAGGGAGAGAAGGACAGACTGTAAGAAAACATTATATAAAGTGTCACCTAGCTGAATACATACATACATACATATCGAAAATGTACAGAGACTTGAACATAAAATGCTCCGAGGCGCAATGGAATAATTGAGAGTCGCATAGTAGAGCGCTGGAAACAAATATTTTTCTTTTCGTAATTTAGTTTTCTATGATCAGATAGAAATACCTAAAAAATCATCGAAAAAACTAGGTTAAACAGTTGAAATTTATATATTAGAGAAAGAAGAGTCAGGGTATAATGTTTATTATAGGTATTACTACAAAGTTTCTTTAAAAAATATATAAAAGAGTCTTAGCATGGAAACTTCAGCGCCCTATTAATTGTAATTATAGTTTCCAATAATAAAATATTTGTATCACACGCATTTTATACGACATTTTATACTTCCCTTTAACATTAAAAGAAAATCTCTCAGCAACTCAATATATTTCAGATTTATGAACTTCTTTTAGGGCATCTTCCATTATTATGCGCTTCCAATTCGCACCATATAAAAAACATGTGTGTATGAAATGAGAGCAGGGCTTTGCCCTCAACTGGGTGCTGCGAGGTCAGGCTTGGGTCAGTTTGATTTTTATCTTCAATAAATGCAGGCAGCACAATAAACAAACAACAACAAAAACAGAATCAGAGTAGCAAAAAAATGAAATAGTCCTTTGCTCAAAGGGGCCTGTGTAATCAATATTTTGCCGACAGCAGAGTCCTTTGGCTTGTGCCCGAGATTCTCTCGCTCCCTCTGCATGAGTGTGTGTGTGTGTGTGTGAGTGAGTGTCCAATGGGCTGGACGCCTGCGGACACAATGGCTGAAATGGAAAGTGCCCATTAGGGTATACGAGGCACTCACATGCGCATAATTGGAACAGGATTAACAAGGCAGCCGCACATCATGAATGCAATTGCAGGACGTGCAGCCATTGTCCGGCCGTTGGGACCCCTGCTTGATCGGACACATGCATTTCCGGACAGAAATGGACAGACACAAAGGCCACGCGCACACAATGCGCTGAAAATAATCCGCTTTAAGTCTATAAAAATGCAGCCAAACAAAAATGTGGAAAATGTGGAAAATGCGAGCAGCGAAACTCTATGCAAAATCACAAACGAAAAATGCACAGAAAATTGCAAGTTGCAGCATGCAAAGTGGTTGCAACTGGAGCGCGGCCAGGGGAGGCTGCACGCGTTTGACCCGACTGTGGCACCTCATGTCAGTACTCGTATGCGTGTGTGTGTGTGAGTGTGCGTGTGTGATTATCGCCAATCTCTTTATTATTCCCATTTTGTGTGTTTTTTTTTTTTCATTTTCCTGATGCTGCTGTTGTCGGTGTCCTTTTTTTATGCCAGAGCGCACACAATTTGCATGTTCAGCAGGAGGCCAGCTTATTATTAGAGTCCACAATAAGCATTCAAGTATCCCACTTTCCCTCTTGATTGACACGTGATTGATGTTTCCATTTTGCATTGACAGCGCCTCGACCTAAA